ATCATCACCCTTAGATACCCTTCTGCTCCCTGTTGTAGTGGCAATCGCGTGCAGCGCTCAACGATGCCGCTGCACTCGCTTAACAACCAAATCACCTTACCACTGGTTTTGTGGAACCAAGTACCGTCGTTAAGAGAGGTTCGACTGGACTCTGGAAGACTCGTCTATGTTTAGATGTGGCTAAGAGACCCCCCCCCCCAAGGGCAATTTAGACAAAATAATTTAATCTCCGCTTCTTTCTTCATTCAACCAGGTGGCTGGGATGCCTATCGCGCCTACCATGTGGCTTGTGAACACTTAGCACGTACACACACCGCACCTCCGATTGGCTACGGCTGGCTACGTACGGTGCGAAAAAAGTTCAACCACACGTACACACACCGCACCTCCGATTGGCACGGCTGGCTACGTACGGTGCGAAAAAAGTTCAACCACACGTAAACACACCGCACCTCCGATTGGCTACGGTTGGCTACGTACGGTGCGAAAGAAGTTCAACCACACGTACACACACCGCACCTCCGATTGGCACGGCTGGCTACGTACGGTGCGAAAGAAGTTCAACGTACACACGAGTCATTAGCTAGCAGAGTAGCCAGTTGCGCAGTGGTGTTGCACGCAACGCCTGGCTACGTAGCGAGGGTTGCTGGATCAACCAAGTCGTAACTAATTGGCACGTTTTTTTATTTATTTTACCAGCCCACTGAGCTATTAGCTTTTTAAAGAAGCTACCTGGCGATCACAAATGATAGCTCCACGAAGTGGCTCACCTTCGTGATCGTGTGGAAATTTACAGCAGCGAAATTATCCAGATACTTTCAACGCGCGTTTCTCAATGTGGGGGGGGGGGGGGGGGGGTGGGACGGGGGGGGACACGGAGGACCCGGAGACAAAAAAAATCCACGCGACCACGGCGGGATAGAGGAGAGAGAGAGAGATTCCAAATCTACAGCAGCAGGCATCGTCAGGGTAGGGATCGGACCCACGCCCGCCTGTAGACCAGGCGAGGTAGTTAACGTCTCAAAAAATGGCAGCCAGCACGTGCGCGTCGTCCGACAACAACGGCGGGCGCGAGTGGCGGGCGGTGGCGGCGGTGGTGGTGGCGGTGGTGACGGCGGTGGTGGTGACGGCGGTGGTGGCGGCGGTGGCGGCGGGCGGCGGCGGTGTTGGTGGTGTCCACGCGAGTGATCATTGTTGGCCCACACGCGGGGCACGGCACGGCACGCCGGGCGTGGTGTTGTGTGTGCCAACAACAACGACGACGACGACAACTCCCTTCCTCTCTCTCTCTCTCTCTGGATGCGAGCCGAGCTCAGACTGTGGCGCGAGTGTTGAGTGCCGAGCCGCGCGCACCTCGAACCGTGGGGGAGGCGTTGTGTTTCCGACACTGATAGGCTTAAGAGGTGCCCCGCATATCGTTACAGCCCCACCGCCTGCCCCGAGTATCATCAACAGCTGCTGCTGCTGCTGCTGGTGGTGGTGGTGTGGAGCGGGGAGCGGCAGCGTAGCGGTCAGCGCTACGCTGCGCCACGAGCCCCCGGCGAGCCGAGTTCGATTCCCGCTCACGGGCAACACCACCGGTGACGAGCATCTGAACCGGTCCCTGGACCTCCCCCTGGGTCGACTCAGCCTCAAATGAGTACCCGGTGCGGTGCATTGGGCATCGCCGCTCGGGAGACAAAGGCGGCCGGGCGTGCGTGGTGCTGGCCACCCAAGCTCCCTCGTGCGCCGTGCCGGCCTTCAGGGGTTGCCGCTCGCTAACAGCACTTGCCCCAACAGTCTGTCAAGGCTACACGGGGGTTCTTTGTCTTTGGCGGTGCCACGCTGTGCATTTCTGCCGGCAGTGGAAAAAATGCCGCGAAATGCGGAGCCCGTGCCATGTAAACCCACCCCCCCCACCCCCCGCTATCACCTTTGACACGTGGCTGCATTTACACACACACACACACAGTGTACAGCAACAACGAAAATTAAAAAGGGGAAAATATCTGTTGGTAAGGAGACACCGGCGATATGTTTAGATATATGCGTGCGTGCGCGCGCGCGTGTGTGTGTGTAAAGTAGTTTGTGGGGAGCGGTGGTGCAGTGGCTAGCGCTACGCTGCGCTACGAACCCCGCCGAGCCGAGTTCGATTCCCGCTCACGGCGACCAACGCCAGGTGAAGATTCTCTTCAACCGGTACCTGGGCCCTCCCCCAATTGTCGACTCACCCTCAAATGAGTGCCCCGGTGCTGTGGCTAAAGCATCGCCACTGGGGTAGACAAAGGCGGCCGGGCGGCGGTGCAGGCTACCCACCGCCTTCAAAGGTGCTACTCGCAAAAACAGCACTTGCCTCGACAGTCTGTTGCAGGCTACGCGGGGAATCTTTGCCTTTGCGTGAAGTAGCGGGCCCCGGTGGGCCGTGAACTTCGTCTTCATTACGACGTCTGCACGGCGCGTCACGACACACACCTGGGAACCGCTCCGCTCAGGCGACGCGAACCCGCTTCTATCCGCTCTTTGAATTCACTTCCCCGTCCTTTCCCGGAGCTTTTCCGTCACTTAGCCGACGACCGATTTAACTCTTCTTTGGTTCTTTCGGTAAAGTCACGTAGAATGAGAATAAAATAATAAAGTGATAAAAATAACTATTTAACTTGATTTTCATTTGACCAGGTTCAGGACTCACCGAGCCGTGTAGCTCTTTTTCGCGAAGCGACCTGGCCATCACGAATGACAGCTCAACGAAGTCGGCTCCTCATCGTCATCGCCGTGGAAATTAATTGCGGACAAATACGCGAAACGCGTGACGTCGATTCTAAATGTGGACGACCCGGAGACAAAGCCACCCACGTGACCACGGGGGACAGAGAAACGCAAAACTCCAAATATGCAGGCATCGTCAGGGTCGGGATCGACCCCGCGACCTCTTGCATACAATGCAGGCTTGTCGCCTTATGATGCCGGTTGTAAACGCTTGCGAAACGTCGTACTCGAATTGTAAATGTTGCGGGTTCACTCTCCAACAACACCGGCGGTGCTGTACTAGTAACGCATTGGCACGTTCTATATACGTGACAAACCTTACTCATTGGCCGTGCCGGGTGGTGGTGGCGGGTTTAACGACACATTTATATTTTTACGCGATCTAACCACCCCCCCAAAGAAAAAAAACCTGTATTCAGTGACGGATTAAGCTAAGTGCGGGGCCTGTACACTGGCGGAGCCAGTGGGGGGATGGGGTGGCACGTGCCCCCCCAATGATCCGATCTCAATCCCTAATTTCGATCGGATCATTTGGGTTTATTAGTAATAAATCGGCATTTTGCGACCCCCACTGCCACTGTGTAGCATATTATTACGTGGCCAGGGACTCTATGAGATGATAGGACAATAGTCTGAGTCCATAATTGGCAATATGTAACGGCAAAGCGGTTATAAGTGACTCAGAATTGTGTGTAGTTGCGTATACAGAGTCCACGACTTCCCTGAAGTCATCGACACCTTCAGCGAACGCGATGCCGATCACACAACGCGGTTCCAATTCGACCCTCGATCGATGGCTGCGTCATCGCCGCACACGCATCGAATAAAAAGCAAGGGACAAGTCCCTTTACTTACTAACAACTCCTCTATCAATTTTCATTGCTGGAGGGGTTGCCTCCCCTACCTGAAAATCCTGCCTCCACCATTGGCCCTGTAGCATATGATGTTATAAATGGGCCCTAAAATAAAAAAAACACGAATGTTAAAACACACATTTTTAACTCGCACAGTAAAGTAATTGTTTTTATTTGCTATACAACCAGATAATATGACAAATCGCTTACCTTAAACTCCCAATCGTTCATAAAAGTTGAAGGCGGTATAGTACTATAGTAATAGAGCAAGTGCAGAATCACTGAACCGAAATTGATAGCTTGAAAGCATTTAGCGCAGGGCCCTTGAAAGTGCGGCATATGTAGTAGCTACTATATATGTGGCAACTTTTGCTACTATGGTAATTGTCCGGCATTGCCTGTATCAAGGAACGCGAGGGAGTTAACATCTCGCCACGCGGCGCCTGACTCTCCACCAATCACATTCATTTCTCCCGACGGGTCTCTCAACCGACCCCCTCACTTTGCCCGACGACCAATCCGATTCGAATGTTCTCCGCCCTCAAATCCGATTGGGCGTGCCCCCCCACCCCCTCCCCCCGTGACAGCTCTTCGCCAATGAGAGTCGAGCACGCTATTCGAGCTCACGAGGTGCCCTTAGACTGGGTGAGTGCGTGATTATTTATTTATAAAATAGATTTGACCCTTTCTGGTAATAAAACAGTTGGTGTTAAGATGTTAAAATACCAAATAGAAACCTTTTTGCAAGGAATCGTGTCTGTTGTTGAAAACGTATATCATTGTGGTTGGCTAGAGGGGCCCCAACTCGTAGCTTTTCCCACCAGGAGGGGTGGAAGGGGGCAACGCACCCCCTGCCTGCCCCATGTTCGTTACGCGACTAGCTACTAACCCGCTCGCTGCTGAACCACACTGCAGCCACCACGCGTGGCAGAACAGAATCATTCGCCAGCGTTGTTCTCATCGTCGATTCTCCTCTCTCGTCCTCTCTTCTCTCGCTGCACCACCAACCACCACCTCCACCACCAACCATCTCCAACACCAACCACCACCAACCACCACCAACCACCACTTCCACCACCAACAACCACATCCGCCGCCAACCACCTCCACCACCAACCACCAACACCACCAACCACCACCAACCACCTCCACCACCAACCACCTCCACCACCAACCACCACCAACCACCTCCACCACCACCTCCACCACCAACCACCTCCACCACCAACCACCACCAACCACCTCCACCACCACCTCCACCACCAACCACCACCTCCACCACCAACCACCACCTCCACCACCAACCACCACCTCCACCACCAACCACCACCACCTCCACCATCAACCACCACCTCCACCACCAACAACCATCTCCACCACCAACCTCCGCCAACCCCCCAGTTGCAGCGGCTCAGAGGGTTCCTCCTCGCGGCTCCTCGCTGGGAACGGACCAAGGCGGCGAAGGCAGCGGCAGCGGCAGCGGCGGCAGCTGAGACGACGTCGCTTGGACTCGGAAGCAACGTCGCCGCCATGCACCAGGCCGACTGGGGCAACGCGGGCCATGGGGCCACCATGGAGCCGAACGGCGAAGGCCGCTCCGTGTCGGCCACGAGGTCAGCCGCCGGCAGGGCCGCGGCGGCCGCGGCGGCGGCGGCGTCGTTGGGCCCCGCTCACCGATTCCTCGACCACTTCTTCAAGAAGCCGACTTTCTGTGACATCTGCCACCACATGATCGTGGGCAAGACCAACGAAGGTTTGCTCGGCTCTTGAGCTTCGCGAACTGCCGTAACGTGCCGGTAAAATTGTCTTTCGCGGTGGCAGGGATACGTTAACTCCCTTACCATGAAGAAGGGCTATTGTTCGGAACGTCACCTATTATACATATTTTTTGTTTTCTTTTAAGGCCACATTGTTGGGACGCTGCAGTGGCGAGATGTTAACTACCTCGCCTGGTATACAGGAGGTCGTGGGTTTGATCCCGACCCTGACCCCTGCTGCTGTATATTTGGAGTTTTTCGATGTCTCTCTCATCATCATCACGTTGGCTAGGAGATGTCAACTACCTCGCCTGGTGTGCAAGAGGTCGTGGGTTTGATCCCGACCCTGACGCCTGTTGTATATTTGGGAGTTTGAGTGTCTCTCTCTCTCCTTGTGGTCTCGTGGATTTTCTCTCCAGGTCCTCCGGTTTTTTCCTCCACACTGAAAATGGACATCACGCGTTTAGAGTATTTTGCTGCTTATAAATGTCCACGTGACGATAAGCCACTTTCGTTTGAGCTATCATTTGTGATAGCCAGGTCGCTTCTGAAAAAGTGCTCTACCGTACAGCTTTAGTGGGCTCTTACCTTGTAGTATATATAAAAAAATAGTTCGTGTTAATATTGTTACGAATTATTATACCACTGTTGTTGTTGCTGCTGCTATCCCACAAGGTGAGATCGCCAAGTATGGGATGCGATGCAAACTGTGCCGGATCAACATCCACCACAAGTGTGTGGAGAACTCCAAGGAGTGCTTCGGCAAAGTGGTAAGAGACGGGGCGGCAAAACTGTGGCAGGGCACAAAAAAAACTATTGTCATTGCAGCGCGTATTTAATGTGCCGCTGCACTCTGATGTTGTAGGAGAAAACATTTATTTAAAAAAGTCTATTTAATTAAGTAGAACGTGTTGTCTATATTTATTTAAAGTTGCGCATTTTGATGTGACGTCACATTTATCTAACACCCCCGCCCCCACTCGTCACACATCGTCACAAATGTCTGACCCCCCCTAGGTGCGTGACGTCATTCATGGACGGCCCCTTACCGGGATGTTGATTCCACTGCTCAAAAATTGAAAAACGTTCGCAGCAAACAAAGCCAGTCCCGAGGTCTAAAACCGGTCATGAATGGGCGTAGCTGATTGGCTGAGGAGACAGAGCTCCGCCCCGTTGACGAGCGCTCGGATTGGCCGAAACCGGCGCCACCGCGTGCATGTGACGTAAACGCACCGTCAGTCAAAATGACACGATGCCAATCGGGTAACGTAGGATGATGATGATGATCATGACGATGTTGTTGTTGTGTTGTTGTTGCTGCTTTAGCCACGTGGATTCAAGAGGCATTTCAGCACGCCTCTGGTGTTCAAGCAGCATGGAGTATTACCCATTGGTACGCGCACGCACGCAAATACAAAGATCCCCCGCATAGCCTTACTAGACTGTTAGGGCAAGTGCTGTTAGCGAGTAGCACCTATGAACGCCGGCACGGCATACGAGAGGGGGTGGGTGGCCAGCACAACGCCCGGTCGCCTTTGTCTCCCCAGTTGCGATGTTTTTGTTACACACAGCACCAGCTACTCATTTGAGGCTGAGTCGACCTAGGGGGATGCCCAGCACCGGTTCAGATAATCGTCACTGGCGTTGGCTGTGAGTGTGAATGTAACTCGCTTCGCCGGGTTTGTAGCGCGGTGTACTCACCGCTGCACCACCGCTCCCCTGCACAACCACACACACACCCACACACTCACACACACAACAACAGCCGCCATTCGCCACCAAGTGGCGGTGACGTCACCACGACGCTTTGTGCCAGGCCATGTGCACCTTGAGGCCACGTGAAGTGTCGAATGCCCGTGGGCAGGAGGTCACGGGGCAGACCCAGGTGCCACGGGTCGACTGACTGAGATGACTGGCTGATGCACCACCTTTGCCCCCTACTGTGCCAACTTGCTGTGCTTTAGCCACCCGGCGCTCCGCTCGTTGTTGTGAGCGTCGCTCCTCCGCCCTCCGTTGTTGTTGGAGGGCGACTGCCTCCAACTGCCCAGTAGCATCCTTCACGAGCCTCCTCCACAGAGGCCGATCTTGAGCCATTCCCTGTCGCACCCCAAGGTGTACAGGGAATGGCTCTGACTCCCGGCCACGTAATTTTACCCGGGCCCGTTCACCATCATGAAGGTCCTTAATGATCGTGAGCAGAGGGTCAGGGACTCCAAAAGCATGAAGAACAACCCAGAGCCCAGGCCTACTGATGGTATCATAGGCCTTGACCAGGTCAATAAAGCAGATATGTAGGTCTTGCTGGAATTCCCTACACCTCTGCTGTAGCAGACGGACAGAAAATATGGCATCTGTGCAGAACCGCCCTTTCCTGAAACCACACTCACACACACTCACACACACACTTACACACACACACACACAAACTCACACACACTCACACACACGGGTGGGGGGTGAGGCTAAATCGAACGGGAGAGTTTTGTCAGCAAGCGGCCACTTTTAGCCGACGCTGTATCCCATCAGGGGGGTGTCAATGCCCGCCGAGGTCACACAGCAGCTAAAGTTTGCGTCGCTTTGCTCATAATTCATCAGAGGTATTTCAGTTTTAGCCCGTGAGGGTGGGCCCCTCTGGGCGACACCACAGCCGCATCCCCTCACTCCACCATCACCATCATCGCCATCAGTAGCAGCAAGGAAGTTTCGTTAAGAGCCATGGTCGATCCACTGTTGGATGAAGAAGGCCTCCCGACATTTGTGTCAAAGGTCATCCCGGGCGGTTCGTCGATCGCCACCGATGTTCGCTAGCCGTTGGCCAGGGATCGAACTTGGGTGGCAGCTGGTTCGTAGTGCTAAAGTTAAACACGTCTTTTTTGTTTGTTCACAATGTTTTTTTTATTTGACCAGGTAAGGCTCCACTGAGCTATGTAGATTTTTTTTTTGCAGAAGCGACCTGGCCACAAATGGTAGTTGAACCCGAAAGTGGCTTATCGCGTGGGTAATCTATAGCAGCGGCCAAATGCTCTACACGCGCGCGACGTCGATTCTAAACGTGGAGGGAAAAACCGAAAGGAGCCGGAGAAAAATCCACGCGACCACGTGGGGAGAGAGAGAGACATGCAGACTACAAATATACAGCAGCGGCAGGCGTCAGGGCTGGGATCGCTCCCACGATCTCCCGTAGACCAGGCGAGGTAGTTAACATCTCACCACGGAGAGAGACACCGCAAACTCCACATACACAGCATGCAGGCGTCAGGGCTGGGATCGAACCCACGATCTCCTGTAGACCAGGCGAGGTAGTTAACATCTCACCACGGAGAGAGACACCGCAAACTCCACATACACAGCATGCAGGCGTCAGGGCTGGGATCGAACCCACGATCTCCCGTAGACCAGGCGAGGTAGTTAACATCTCACCACGGAGAGAGACACCGCAAACTCCACATACACAACAGCAGGCGTCAGAGCTGGGATCGAACCCACGATCTCCCGTATACCAGGCGAGGTAGTTAACATCTCACCATCGCGGTGCACCGTGCCGCCACTTCACCTTATAAGTTACCATGGTGGACACTATTCAGGGTGGACACTGCCCATGTCGGACACTGCCCATGGTGGACACTACCCCATGGTGGACACCACCCAGGGTGGACACTACCCATGGTGGACACTACCCAGGGTGGACACTACCCATGGTGGACACTACCCATGGTAGACACTACCCATGGTGGACACTACCCCAGGGTAGACACTACCCATGGAGGACACTGCCCATGGTGGACAGTACCCCAGGGTGGACAGTACCCAGGGTGGACACTACCCATGGTGAACACTACCCATGGTGAACACTACCCATGGTGGACACTACCCAGGGTAGACACACCCAGGGTGGACACTACCCAGGGTGGACACTACCCCAGGGTGGACACCACCCATGGTGGACACTACCCAGGGTGGACACTGCCCATGGTGGACACTACCCATGGTGGACACTACCCAGGGTGGACACTACCCATGTTGGACACTACCCATGGTGGACACTACCCCAGGGTGGACACTGCCCAGGGTGGATACTACCCAGGGTGGACACTACCCAGAGTGGACACTACCCCATGGTCGACACTACCCATGGTGGACACTACCCCAGGGTAGACACTACCCAGGGTGGACACTGCCCATGGTGGACACTACCCATGGTGGACACTACCCAGGGTGGACACTACCCATGGTGGACACTACCCATGGTGGACACTACCCCAGGGTGGACACTACCCATGGTGGACACTACCCATGGTGGACACTACCCAGGGTGGACACTGCCCAGGGTGGACACTACCCCATGGTCGACACTACCCATGGTGGACACTACCCATGGTGGACACACCCATGGTGGACACTACCCCATGGTCGACACTACCCATGTTGGACACTACCCCATGGTCGACACTACCCATGGGTGGACACTACCCATGGTGGACACTACCCATGGTGGACACTACCCCATGGTCGACACTACCCATGGTGGACACTACCCAGGGTGGACACTACCCCATGGTGGACACTACCCAGGGTGGACACTACCCATGTTGGACACTACCCATGGTGGACACTACCCATGGTGGACACTACTCAACCACAACCCCCTCCGTGTCCCCCTCCCCCCCCCCCGCCGCAGTGATTGACGACAAGGTGGACCCGGACTACGAAACGCTGCGCGTCGGCAACTCCCTGTCGCACCGCAACAAGGGCAAGGGCGACGAGGACGACAAGAAGGTGGACGTCGCACGTCCACCGTCGTGCGCCGTGGTCTACCCACTGCTGGATGGAGGCCCTCCAATCCCTGGCTCGCGGCTCTCAGGCCCAGATTCCGTCGCTTCGCCGAGAGTGGCTGGCGGCTTCTGTGGGAGTTACTTTCATGCTCATGTCACCATCACCACCACCACCGTCGTCGTCACCACAGACCATCGTCACCTTCGGCCGTGGTCAGTCCGCTGCTGAAGCTACGAAACTGCGCTTCGTTCAGCCGCGTTTAGTTCACCGGGTAAGGCCCCACATGGGCTGTTGAGCTCTTATTTAAGAAGCGACTTGGTCGCCACAAACGACATCTCTCGGGAGCGCCTTACTGGTGGCGTGCAAGCCGTTCATCGCAGCCAAACCCACGTCGACGTTCCAGCACGCGGTTTGCTCCCCCCTGTGTTGGGGGAGCGAACCCACCACGACATTCACAATTCCAGCACTTGGGGAGTTTAACCGAGTGCTGGAATTGCGAATGTCGTCGTGGGTTTACTCCCCCGACACACAGGCACCACAGTCAGTATGCACTGCTGTAATCATAGGTACCGCCACAGTATGCACTGAAATTTCCACAGGCTATTCCAGCAGATGCATGTGCAACTCCAAAAAGTCAATATTTCTAGCGATAGGCTCCATGAAACGAAGTAAACTTGGCGGGGATTGCTCTCTTGTGTTTCACGGGGCGTCGCATGCATGTTGGGGAATGAACCCACCACGACATTCACAATTCCAGCGCCGTCACGTTTCGCCGGTAATTACAACAACAACAACAACCGGCATCGTCAGGCTGGACAGCCACAGAGCTGTGGAGAAATCCTCCTCGTGCTTCGAGTCTTAAATTGACGGGGGGTGTTCATTTGATGTCGTCACCCGTGAGCCAATCATGCTCGGAGGCTACAGGGAGGCGGTTAATGCGTATATTGGGTCTTACTGGGTTTGTTGTGGGGTGTTGTTGTTGTCGTCAAGGGAGGAAAGACTTCGGAGACATCGCAAGACAACGACGTGGAGAGTGAATACTTGGAGAACGAAAATGAAAACGATGAAGGTAGGCGTCACTTTGCGAAAACTTGAACTCGTGAGCGTCAGGTACACCGCGGTGGCGAGGAGATGTTAACTACCTCGCCTGGTATACAGGAGGCCGTGGGTTCGATCCCGACCATGACGCCTGTTGCTGTATATTTGGAGTTTGCGGTGTCTCTCTCTGTCTCTCATCATCATCATCACGGTGGCTAGGAGATGTTAACTACCTGGCCTGGTACACAGGAGGTCGTGGGTTCGATCCTGACCCTGACGCCTGCTGCTGTATATTTGTAGTTTGCGTATCTCTATCTCTCTCTCATCATCATCACGGTGGCTAGGAGATGTTAACGACCTCGCCTGGTCTACAGGAGGTCGTGGGTTCGATCCCGACCCTAACACCTGCTGTATATTTGGTGTTTGCGTGTCTCTATCTCTCTCTCATCATCATCATCATCATCACGGTGGCTAGGAGATGTTAATTACCTCGCCTGGTGTACAGGAGGTCGTGGGTTCGATCCCGACCCTGACACCTGCTGCTGTATATTTGAAGCTTACGTGTTGTCCTCGTGGTCGCGTGGATTTTTCTCCGGGTCCTCCGGTTTCCCCCCCTCCACATTTTGCAATGACATCACGCATTCAGAGTATTTGGCTGCTATACATTTCCGCGTGGTGATGATGATGATGATAAGCCACTTCGTTGAGCTATCATTTGTGGTGGCCAGGTCGCTTCTGAAAAATGGACAATGTTAGTCTATGGGCAATGTTAGTCTATGGGCAATGTTAGTCTATGGGCAATGTTAGTCTACAGGCAATGTTAGTCTACGGGCAAGGTTAGTCTATGGGCAATGTTAGTCTATGGGCAATGTTAGTCTATGTGCAATGTTAGTCTATGGGCAATGTTAGTCTATGGGCAATGTTAGTCTATGGGCAATGTTAGTCTATGGGCAATGTTAGTCTATGGGCAATGTTCGTCTATGGGCAATGTTAGTCTACGGGCAATGTTAGTCTACGGGCAAGGTTAGTCTATGGGGAATGTTAGTCTATGGGCAATGTTAGTCTATCGGCAATGTTCGTCTATGGGCAATGTTAGTCTATGGGCAATGTTAGTCTATGGGCAGTGTTAGTCTATGGGCAATGTTTAGTCTATGGGCAATGTTAGTCTATGGGCAATGTTAGTCTATGGGAAATGTTAGTCTATGGGCAATGTTAGTCTATGGGCAATGTTAGTCTATGGGCAATGTTAGTCTATGGGCAATGTTCGTCTATGGGCAATGTTAGTCTATGGGAAATGTTAGTGTATGGGCAATGTTAGTCTATGGGCAATGTTAGTGTATGGGCAATGTTAGTCTATGGGCAATGTTAGTCTATGGGCAATGTTAGTCTATTGGCAAAGTTAGTCTATGGGCAATGTTAGTCTATGGGCAATGTTAGTCTATGGGCAATGTTAGTCTATTGGCAAAGTTAGTCTATGGGCAATGTTAGTCTATGGGCAACGTTAGTCTATGGGCAATGTTAGTCTATGGGCAATGTTAGTCTATGGGCAATGTTAGTCTATGGGCAGTGTTAGTCTATGGGCAATGTTAGTCTATGGGCAATGTTAGTCTATGGGCAGTGTTAGTCTATGGGCAATGTTAGTCTATGGGCAAGGTTAATTTAGTTCAGTTGAACAGCGCTTGCCACTACAGCCGGTTGTGGCCGCACTGGGGATCTCTGCGTGCCGGGGCGGTGAGGCCACATCTCTCCGGCTCTCTTGCCACCCGGGCATAAGGGGCCGTCCATAAATGACGTCACGCACCTAGGGGGGGGGGGGTCAGACATTTGTGACGATGTGTGACGAGGGGGGGGGGGTGGTTGGGAAATGTGACGTCACGTAAAAATGCGCAACTTTAAATAAATATAGAATTGTTATAACAACACTAATTGTTATAGCAACACTCCGTCTGCCCGCGCGCATCAAACGTAAGACCCCCCCCCCCCACCTCTGCGCTCGTCCGCAGTGTTCGAGAACGCCGAAAACATGGAGCAGAACTCGGACGAGACAAAGGTAACGACGGACACGTGGTACTCCCCCGCCCCCCCCCCCTCTCTCACGCTTCCCGGTGAAGGGGGGGGCAGTGCCACGTGGTACCCCCCACTCCTCCCCCCCCTCCTCTGAAGCTTCGCGGTGAGGGGGGGGGGCAGTGATTGGTGCGGTGTGTAAACATCGCCACTGGGGGAGACAAAGGCGATCGGGCGTGTTGCTGGCCACCCACCCCCCTCGTGTGCTGTGCCCGGCCTTCATAGGTGCTCGCTAACAGCACTTGCCCCAACAGTCTGTTAAGGCTACACGGGTGTTCGTTGTCTTTATCTGGTGGTGGTGCTGCTGTTGTAATCATCTTGTGACGTTCCACTTTTGAGTTAAGTCCACTTCCCCATTTGCTTTCATTCTCGTCTCTGTGTGAGTCTATGGGTCTCTGTGTTAGCCTATGGGTCTCTGTGTGTGTCTGGATTTCTGTGCGAGGTTATTGGTCTCTGTGTAAGTCTATGGGTCTCTGTGGTAGCCTATGGCTCTATGCGTGTGAGTCTGTGGGTCTCTGTGTGAGTCTCTGGATCTCCGTGTGAGTCTATGGGTCTCTGTGTGAGCCTATGGGTCTCTGTGTGTGAGTCTGGATTTCCGTGCGAGTCTATTGGTCTCTACGTGAGTCTATGGGTCTCTCTGTTAGCCTATGGCTCTATGCGTATGAGTCTATGGGTCTCTGTGTGTGTGAGTCTATGGGTCTGTGTGTCTGTGAGTCTATTGGACTGTGTGTGCGTGAGTCTATGGGCCTATGGGTCTGTATGCGTGAGTCTATGAGTCTCTCTGCGCGTGTGTCTATGGGTCAGTGTGTGTGTGCGAGTCTATGGGTCAGTGTGTGTGTGAGTCTATGTGTGTGTGTGAGTCTATGGGTCAGTGTGTGTGTGAGTCTATGTGTGCGTGTGTGTGAGTCTATGTGTGTGTGTGTGAGTCTATGGGTCAGTGTGTGTGTGTGCGTCTCTGGGTAAGTGTGCGCGTGCGCGAGCCCACGGGATATTTGTCGAGCGTCGATCACCGTCCCACCGCCTCCGTCTGTCTCAGGGCAAGAAGCCGGGCAAGGACACGGTGACCTCGGCCTTCACCTACGTGGCCCTCTACCGCTTCCAGTCGCAGGAGAAGGACGATCTCGACCTTCAGTGAGTGCGCGACCCTCCCGGTGCTGCGTTGCGACGGCCCATAGAGTGTCGGAGTGACTTGATGGTCTCAGCGCGGTCGCCAAATGATTCGCACGGAGAGATTCATAGGCTCACGCAGAGACCCATAGACTCACACAGAGACCCATAGACTCACACAGAGACCCATAGACTCGCACAGAGACCCATAGACTCGCACAGAGACCCATAGACTCACACAGAGACCCATAGACTCACACACAGAGACCCATAGACTCACACAGAGACCCACAGACTCACACAGAGACCCATAGACTCACAAAGAGACCCACTGACACCCACACAGAGACCTATAGACTTACACAGAGACCCATAGACTAACAGAGAGACCCACAGACTCACACAGAGACCTATAGACTCACGCAGAGACCCATAGACTCACACAGAGACCCATAGACTCACACAGAGACCCATAGACTCACACAGAGACCTATAGACTCACGCAGAGACCCATAGACTCAAACAGAGACCCATAGACTCACACAGAGACCCATAGACTCACACAGAGACCCATAGACTCGCACAGAGACCCATAGACTCGCACAGAGACCCATAGACTCGCACAGAGACCCATAGACTCACACACAGAGACCCATAGACTCACACAGAGACCCACAGACTCACACAGAGACCCATAGACTCACAAAGAGACCCACAGACACCCACACAGAGACCTATAGACTTACACAGAGACCCATAGACTAACACAGAGACCTACAGACTCACACAGAGACCCATAGACTCACGCAGAGACCCATAGACTCACACAGAGACCCATAGACTCGCACAGAGACGCATAGACTCACGCAGAGACCCATAGACTCACACAGAGACGTATAGACTCACGCAGAGACCCATAGACTCACACAGAGACCCATAAGCTCACACAGAGACCCATAGACTCACACAGAGACCCATAGACTCACGCGGAGACCTATAGACTCACGCAGAGACCTATAGGCTCACGCAGAGACCCATAGACTCACACAGAGACCCATAGACTCACACAGAGGCCCCTAGACTCACGCGGAGACCCATAGACTCACATAGAGACCCATAGACTCACACAGAGACCCATAGACTCACACAGAGACACATAGACTCACACAGAGACCCATAGACTCACACAGAGACCCATAGACTCACATAGAGACCCATAGACTCACACAGAGACCCATAGACTCACACAGGAATCCATAGAATCACACAGAGACCCATCAACTCACAGAGAACCATAGATTCACACAGAGATCCATAGATTCACACAGAGACCCACAGACTAACACAGAGGCCCACAGACTCACACAGAGACCCACAGACTCACACAGAGACCCATAGACTCGCACAGAGACCCATAGACTCACACAGAGATGCATAGACTCACACAGAGACACAGACTCACACAGAGACCTATAGATTCACACAGAGACCCATAGACTCACAGAGAGACGCATAGACTCACATAGAGACTCATAGACTCACACGGAGATCCATAGACTCACACAGAGACCCATAGACTCACACAGAGACGCATAGACTCACACGGAGACCCATCGACTCACACCGAGAGCCGCATAGACTCGCACAGAGACCCATAGACTCACACAGAGACCCATAGACTCGCACAGAGAGCCGCATAGACTCGCACAGACTGAGTTGTGATCCAAACCGGGTTCTCAAGTGTGGCGAGTCGACGGTCTCAGCCCGGTCACCGATGCCCGCACGAAAAAACAAACCCGTCGGGTCAAAGTCCCCCTCGAGCAAGCTCAGCTATCGCATCCGGAGCCTGGATCAGGAAGCTCTTTCGCGCGACGAGAGCCGAGCTGCTATCGTTAACGACCTGAGGATGCTCGTTGCAACCTCACAGCGAAACCGTCGTACGCAGCGTTTGGTCAAAAACATTGTTCGATTCTCTTTTTTTTATTTCTTCCCCCACCTCTTCCTGCTGCTGTGGTTTGACAAAGCGAATCGATCCCGCGCATTTGCCCCATCGCGTGACAACTCCGTTTGAGTGCCTCTGGTCAGGTGGCAGAGGTCACGGCTCAACATTGGCGTTTCTCCCCCCCGCTCCGCGCGTTTAGAATCCACGTGCGTTTACGTTATTTGTCTGCTACAGGCGGTCCACGTGATGATCAGCCACTTTCATAAGAGGGTATTTTTTTGGGTTAGATCGCGCTCTAACGCAAAAAAATAAAACCTCTGTTATGGATGATATTGGTCGCGAAAGCCGACGTGATCGGCCACTTTCGTTGAGCGATCATTTGTAAAAGCCAGGCCTCTTCTGAAAGAGGGGTACACAGCTCAGTGGGCCTTACCTGGTAAAATAAAAGGTTCAGTTTAGTATACCTACACGATGCGACCTATAAGTAACGAACTATTTAATCATATTTGCTGACGATGTTCATGTTTGCGAACTTTTGGTGGTGTTCTGAATTGAATTGGGTTTGCACCCCAGGTCCGCCTTGCAAAAGGCACTTCAACGCCACGGCCTGTCTGCTGGTCGATGACTGCACACACACACGCACACAGTCGTGCAAAGAAAAACAACACCCCAAGATCTGACGTTGAATTTGGTGTAGATTATTTTCTTTAGATAAATTCCAGCTTTTAACAGTTTTACTGTATTGGTTTGATCACTCGATGGCAGACGGGCGGGTGGGCGGGCAGGCGGGCGGGCGGGCAGGCGGGCGGGCGGGCGGGGGGAGAGTGCTGACCTCCACCGCGTGCGGGGGGGGGGGGGTCTCCGAGGTAGCTCTGTAGTGTCCCGTGATTCCCGCGTGCCGTTCTCCAACGCCGAGGGTTCCGCGCCGCTCCTATGCATTTTGCCGTCTCGCGACGATGCGGCGACGGAAGCGCGATCGCGATGAATTTTTTATTTTTAATTTGTAACTACATATCCACAAGCGTGTTCTCCGGGAACGCCGCGTGCTGTTTTCACAATGCGCGTCGGGTGTAACGCGGGCGGATGTATTCGGGAACGCATTTTTATTTTACACACATAACAACGCGGATGCGAATTGGATGTAACGCGATTGAGTGAACGGAACTACGTCGCAGCGCGAGTAGGAATAGGTGGTCGCGAACCGGCTGCCTCGGCCTAGCGTCGTCATCGCGCAAGGCAATTGGGATGCTGCTGGATGCTTCTAGATGCTACTCACGCGCCTCGGTCTTTGTTCAGCCTGCGTACGCATCTCACGTGCTATCGCGGACTGTGCTTTACCGCTTAATTACACATTATTTACTATAACGCGGTGTTTCAATAACGCGGTGCTCTTAGGGAACGCAACTACCGTGTTATAGGAGAACAGCACGTGTTTATTTTTTTATTAGAAAATAAAGATACGAGCAGCGTGTGACAGGGAGCTGCTAAGATGACGCTACCTAACCCTCTGTGCCCTCAGCCCTGGGGACCGGCTACAGGTGACTGATGACTCCAACGAAGAGTGGTGGAAGGTGAGTCCGCTCACTTTTGTTATTGTCAGGATCAATTCCTGTGAATGAGTGATAGATGGAACTCTGTAGAGGGCATTTGGCCGACTAAGGGCGCCACGGTGGTGCCTGCTGGATATTTGGAGTTTGCATCTAATCATCACGGTGGCTAGATGTTAACTACCTCGCCTGGTATACAGGAGGTCGTGGGTTCAATTCCTACCCTTAACGCCTGCTTTATATTTGGAGTTCGTGTGTCTCTCTCTGTCTCATCGTTATCACGGTGGCTAGGAGATGTTAACTACCTCGCCTGGTATACAGGAGGTCGTGGGTTCGACCCCGACCCTAACGCCTGCTGTATATTTAAAGTTTGCGTGTCTCTCTCTCCGTGGTCGCATAGATTTTTCTCCGGGTTCTCCGGTTTTTTTTCTCTCCACGTTTAGAAATCTGCGTTTAAAGTATTTGTCTGCTGTACATTTCCACACGATAAGCCACTTCGTTGAGCGATCATCTGTGATGGCCAGGTCGCTTCTGAAAAATATCCATACAGATCAGTGGGCATTACCTTGTAAAATAAAAAATAGTTTAGTTGTAGTTTTTAACCCAAAAGAAAAACTCTTATGGCTATCAACGCACTATATGTGCGTGAGTGTGTAGAGTTTAGCGCGCTGCGCTACGAACCTGGCGACCAGGGTTCGATTCTCACTCACGGCCACCAACTGGTCCTAGGCCTCCCCTAGGTCAACTCAGCCTCAAATGAGTACCTGGTGCGATATATAAACATCACCACTAGGGAGACAAAGGCGGCCGGGCGTGGTGTTGGCCACCCACCCCCTCGTGTGCCGTGCCGGCCTTTATAGGTGCTCGTTAACAGCACTTGCCCCTACAGTCTGTTAAAGCTATACGGGGGATCTTTGTCTTTCTGTATGTGCGCGCATGTTCAAATGTTATATTGATGGCGTAGCAACCATCGCCCCCTACTGCAAAAAACTGCGCGGGACACTTCTTTCAGCTAGTTTTATCCATTTATTTATTTATTTCCGTTTCATATAATAATAGGGTTTTTCCCCTTTTTTCTGGCAACAAAACTTAAACTTTTTTTTACAAGGATTCATGTTACTGCATTAACCACAATACCTGCAGTCAAAATGCAGACAAAAAACATACTATGATAATATATGCATTATCCTTGAAACTGATTGGTCCACACCAAGGGACGGCTTTCTTTTGAGCCTCGACCCAATTGGTGCTCGACCAGATGATGCCAAAAGGCGTCACACAGCTCAAAGACAATGCACTATCAAAGTAATGAGGGCTCGGGGTGAGCATCTACACCAATTGGGTCGAGGCTCAAAAGAAAGCCGTCCCTTGGTGTGGACCAATCAGTTTCAAGGACAATGCATCATATATTATCATAGTATGTTTTTTGTTTGCATTTTGACATGAATCCTTGTAAAAAGGTTTCAGTTTTGTTGCCAGAAAAAAGTGGAAAAACCCTATTATTATATTTTGGTACTGGCAAAGGAGGTCTAATGATAATGTTTCAGTTTCATTTATTAGGTACTAGCTGTACTACCCGACTTCGCCCGGTACTTGGATCCACCACGCCCGGCCGCCTCTGTCTCCCCAGTGGCAATGTTCACACACCACAGCAGTTACTCGTTTGAGGTTGAGTCGACCTTGGGGAGGCCCAGGAGCGGTTGAAATTATCGTCACCAGTGGTGGCCGTGAGCGGGAATGGAACTCGGGTCGCCGGGTTCCACATGCGAGGGTCACGTGACAGATTTGACGTCACAGCTCATTTGCCGTGCAAAAAATAAATGTTTCATTGAGCTCCCGCCCCCCCCCCCCCCAAAAAGTGTATTTTTATAATTTCTGCATGGTATACAGTCTGGAAAGTACCCACATGGCAAATTTCAAGTTTGTTGCATGTCGGGAAGTACACTAAACATTTTGAACAGACACACACATTCACAACTTTGCCTTTTATATATATGGAGAGGTATAAACCCTGTGAGCCATGCGGCTCTTGACTCGGGTGCAACCGCAACAAAACAAAAACATGAACAAGACACATCTTAAAGTGACTCCACGCAACAGTACAAAAAAAAAACCTGGAAAAAACAGCAAAGCCTTCCAGAAAAAAAACACCGCATTTCAACGCTGTGTGCAAAGATCCCAGTGGGATGCAAGTCAAACAATAACAATCATAAGACAATGTAGATTCAAAAGAGGCTCGGTGGCTCGGCTTTCCTGGAGACACAAGCGCAGGAATAATATTAACAGCAGTCGAATAAATGATCCAGGGTGGTAATTTGATCGAAGGATGAATTAGTTTGCACCTTCTGACTCTTACAATCTGTCTCCTTTTAGCCTACAGATACATACACTTTGGTTCTATTCGGTAAAGTCACGTAGGTAAAAAATAAAACAACAAAAATCACGACGTTTCGGCCACAACACAAGTGGCCTTCATCAGGTGAAGGGACCAGACTGTCTAGAGGACAGCGCTGGAGTGAACACAGCTAAGCTCAGACCGCGACCTTTAAGCTGTGTGAGAGGAAACAGAGTGCCTTGACAAAGGAATTAGCATAAAAATTAGCATTTAATTGGCGGACTTAGCATGATGAACGGTGTAGAGGGGGGGAGCAAGTGCAGGTCGGCGAGGGGGGGAGGGGGGAGTTTACATATTGATGGTGTGAAAAGGGAATTTAAGCAGCTGCGAAAGTTTGGGATACCACTACTTGAAAAAATATACTGTACCATTGAAAATTAGTTTAATGTTTGGTTTGATTCAGAACATCTTTCCAATGGTTGTTTAATTTGAAACCATCCTCTCGGTTGAAATTGTGTCTGTGTTTGTAAATCTGAATTGCCTCGTGAACAAATCTCTGATAAAAACCCGTGGGTTTGCAAAGAACCTTGGTATCGGAGAAAATGATATCGTGATCACCTACAGTGTTGTAACAGTGATCAGCTACGGCAGAAGAATTCGTATCCATAAAAACTCAACTTAGAAACAATTTTTATTTTACCAGGTAAGGCTCACTGAGCTATGTAGCTCTTTTCCAGAAGCGACTTGGCTCGATCACAAATGATAGCTGGACGAAGTGACTTATCACGTGGACATTTATAGCAGCCAAATAACTCCAAACACGTGACGTCGATTCAAAATGTGGAAGGATAAACCGGAGGACCCGGGGAAAATCCATGCAACCACGGGGAGAGAGACGCAAAACTCCAAATATACAGCAGGCGTCAGGGTCGGCTTCGAATCCACGACCTCCTGTGTACCAGGCGAGGCAGTTAACATCCGTGTGACCGCTGCGACACTTCGTGGTGCCGTGCCGCACAATTTTGTGCGACCGATGCTGTGCGCGTGATGCCACGTGCTATGATGTGCCACCCGATGCCGCTTTGCTCCAATGCCGCTTGCCGCGCAGGGCAAGATTGGCGAGCGAGTGGGCTACTTCCCTGCCAACTTCACGCTGAAGATCCGCACGACGGAGCGGGTGTTCCGCTGCGTGCGCACATTCGTGGGCAACCGCTACCTGGGCCAGATCACGCTCAAGCAGGATCAGGTGAGGGCTAACAGCACTTGCCCCAACAGTCTAGCAATGCTATACGGGGGATCTTTGCCTTTTGCACCTTTGTGGGGAACCGCTACCTAGGCCGGATCACGCTCAAGCAGGACCAGGTGAGGGCTAACAGCACTTGCCCCAACAGTCTAGTAAGGCTATACGGGGGATCTTTGCCTTTTTCACCTTTGTGGGGAACCGCTACCTAGGCCGGATCACGCTCAAGCAGGACCAGGTGAGGGCTAACAGCACTTGCCCCAACAGTCTAGTAAGGCTATACGGGGGATCTTTGCCTTTTGCACCTTTGTGGGGAACCGCTACCTAGGCCGGATCACGCTCAAGCAGGACCAGGTGAGGGCTAACAGCACTTGCCCCAACAGTCTAGTAAGGCTATACGGGGGATCTTTGCCTTTTTCACCTTTGTGGGGAACCGCTACCTAGGCCGGATCACGCTCAAGCAGGACCAGGTGAGGGCTAACAGCACTTGCCCCAACAGTCTAGTAAGGCTATACGGGGGATCTTTGCCTTTTGCACCTTTGTGGGGAACCGCTACCTAGGCCGGATCACGCTCAAGCAGGACCAGGTGAGGGCTAACAGCACTTGCCCCAACAGTCTAGTAAGGCTATACGGGGGATCTTTGCCTTTTTCACCTTTGTGGGGAAACCGCTACCTAGGCCGGATCACGCTCAAGCAGGACCAGGTGAGGGCTAACAGCACTTGCCCCAACAGTCTAGTAAGGCTATACGGGGGATCTTTGCCTTTTGCACCTTTGTGGGGAACCGCTACCTAGGCCGGATCACGCTCAAGCAGGACCAGGTGAGGGCTAACAGCACTTGCCCCAACAGTCTAGTAAGGCTATACGGGGGATCTTTGCCTTTTGCACCTTTGTGGGGAACCGCTACCTAGGCCGGATCACGCTAAGGCAGGACCAGGTGAGAGCCGCGGTGGCGGTGGCGGCAGTTGGCACAGTGGGTAGCATGCGTGGTGCATTTGACGGTCATCTCAGTTGGTCAACCCATGGCACCTGGGTCTGTCCCGTGATCTCCTGCCAGCGGGCCTGACAGATCACTCGACCCATAGCACCTGCATCTGACCCGTGACCTGCTGCACCTAGCCTGGCACATTAGTTAACTCGTGGCACCTGGGTCTGACCCGTGACCTGCTGCACCTAGCCTGGCACATTAGTTAACCCGTGCCACCTGCATCTGTCCCGTGACCTGCTGCACCTAGCCTGGCACATCAGCTAACCCGCGGCGTCATCGCACCGCTTGCAAGACGGCGACGGTCGAGCTACCAGTGACCAGCCCCCCCCCCACCCCCCCACCCCGCGCTGTAACTTTTCCGCAGATCTGCGTGGAAAAGGGCGGAGGGAGCAACGGCTTCCTGGCCGTGACGAGCGGCAGGAAGAAGGGCCTGGTTCCCGGCGACTTTCTCGAGCAGATCTAACGGCGCCACCTCAACGGGACACGGGGGGTGGTGGTGGCGGTGGGCGGTGGTGGTGGGCGGTGGTGGTGGTGGGCGGTGGTGGGGGGGGGGGGGGGGGGGTTAACGCAGACAAGGCCACGCGAAACCTGCACGGTCGCGCGTCAAGGGGCAATCGGCTTCAAAGTCGTGAACAAAATTACAGCGGACGAAAGTGTTCGCCGGAGGATAGTGGGTTCTTTTTTTTTGTTTGTTTCAAAAAATATAAAATTTACTTTCGTCGACGATGACTTCTAGGGGTGCGGGGGGGGGGCGCTCTCTTTTTTTTTTTCCACTGCCACATTCGAACCGTGCCGAGGGCCCTGCTGTCCCATGACCCCCGTGGCGCGGCCCGTCGGTGGTGCGCTCGCTCACCCGCTCGCTCACTCGCTCGCTCCCTTGTTGCAGAGGTTGCCACAGGTCCATCACTCGAGCAAGCGAGACTCACGCCCGGCCCCTTGGGCTCTTGAAATTTGAACTTCGGCCGGCTCAGCGTGGCTCAGGTGGCGTGGGGTTTGTGTGGTTTTTTAATCCCCCCCCACCCCCGCCCCCCCCCCCCCACACACTACGGTATACGAGCAGCGACTCCGCGCATCTCGACGAGTGGCGTCGAGATGCGCGTAGACGGTGCCTCTGTCTTTGCACCCTCGCTGGCGATAGCACAGGGTGATTAAGATGTTCAAACACCAAGGCATCAAGTGTGGATGTGCGCATTTTGAACTTCGTTCGCGTCGTACATAGCCAACCGTGCGGGGGGGGGGGGGGGGGGGGGGTGGGAGAACAACAGACTGCACACACAACAAAAAAGCACTTGTGAAGAAATTCGTTTTCAATCTCAGAGGTAGTGTGGGTTACTCGCGACTCCTCCAAGACGTCTCTGCAGCGTGGAAGAGTAGGCCAAATACAGGGGCTCTCTCGGGCACCCTCTGGATAGAGACCCTTCCGTCAGCGGTGGCTGTGAGAGGGCAATTGCAGCGCTGCGTTTTTTCCAGTCACGGGGGTGGGGGGGGGGGGGGGGTGGTGGGGGGCCTCCCGACTCAAGCGAACGAGGGGAAGACTCTCCGCCGGTGTGCAAATTCCACGTGCCTCTGGCGGGTGCCAGTCCCTCCGTGGAACAACCAACTGATGACTCCCCACAAAGTGGTTACTTGCGTTGCTGTTGTTGTTGTCGTCGTATCGACCAATGAAGAGATGATGAGTCAAACTCCCCCCCCCACCCCTTACCGATTGTGGGTTCAGCTCCTCAAACCCACAGCGGCCGCTTGAAGCAAGTGAAGGAATAACGTGGCGGCTTACACGCGGATCGAGTTACACTTTCTAACACGTGCGCCCTTGACTTTGGGGAAAATAAATAAATAAATAAACACATCAGCACAGAATCCAAACGGCAGCTGTCAGGGCTAATGCAGTATTTGCCCCAAAAAAAAAACAGTTTTGGTTTGGTTCGATGTGTGTCCCCCAGTACGCCACGGTGGCTGTGAGATGTTAACCTCCTCGCCTGGTCTACAGGAGGTCGTGGTTTCGACCCCGACCCTGGCGATGCCTGCTGCTGTATATTTGGAGTTTTGCGTGTCTCTCTCCCCGTGACCGCGTGGATTTTGTCCCCCGGGTCGTCCAGGTTTTTCCCCTCCCAACATTTACGGTAGAATCAGCGTCACGCGTTTATAGAGTAAAATCTGGCTGCTAAACTTGCCCACGCGATGATGAGCCGCTTTATTGAGCTATCATTTGAGATCGCCTGGTCTCTTCTGAAAAAAAAGAGCCATTTAAAACTTGATTTGAAGCTTTCGCGACTGCAGGAATTACTCCTTGGTTATTTCGGTAAAGTCACGGAGAAAGAAAAGTAATTAAATAATAGAGAGATACAAACTTAGCATTTTTTTTCGAAATGTAATGCAATGCAACGCAGAGAGTCGGCTTAACTGTGCGTTAGCCGACTCGTTGCGTTGTATTGCATTTCCAAAAATGTGCTAAGTTCATATTCTTAGCTCTTTCGGTAAAGTCACGTTGAAGGGAAACAATAAAATATATATATATAAAAAACAATAATATATTTTATTATTTTATTGCTTCCCTTCAACGTGACTTTACCGAAAGAGCTAAGAATATGAATTACTGCAGTCACGAAAGCTTTAAATCAAAATGTGCTAAGTTTGTTTCATTTATTTTCTTTCTACGTGACTTTACCGAAAGAGTAAAGCTGTATAGCTCAGTGGGCCTTAACCTGGTCAAATACAAAAAATAGTTTTCGTTTTTGAAGTACCGGGCATGTCGTTGATCAACGTGGACAATCGTCTGTAGCCGAGGCCGGCAACCAAGATAACAAGAATATATTTTTTGGGGGGGGGGGGGTAAGAATTCGGTAAAAAAAAAATCCTCAATATTTAAAGAGCCGCAATGACTACAAGACGGTGGGGGTCCTTAGTAAATAACCGGTCACGAAGCAGCGACTGGAGTCGCGGTGTTTTTGATACCCTGGTCTAAAGGGTACGTGCTTCAATAGTGACAACATGATTCACACTCGATTCGAAGCTTTCGTGACTGCAGGAATTACTCCTTGGTTCTTTCGGTAAAGTCGCGTAGAAATAAATTGAATAATGATAGAATACGACGTTTCGATTGCCTTTGTGTGCGTCTCTCTCTGTTTGTCTCTGTGTGAGTCTTTCTCTGCTTGTGTGTCTGTCTGTGTGTCTCCGTGTCTATGTTTTGTCTCTCTCTCTCTCAAATTTGAGCAATCTTTGGAAGAACGTAATCAACCAGGTGGGGTGTTGACTGTCGTGTTGGCCGACTCTCTGTGTTGTATTGCATTCTATTTCCAAGTTTTCTATGTTTGTTTTCTCATTCATTTGTACCTGATGATGGTTGCTTGTGTTGCAATCGAAACGTCGTATTCTATTATTTAATTTCTTTCTACGTGACTTTACCGAAAGAACCAAAGAGTAACATGATTCATTTTGGATTATAATCTTTGCCAGAGTTGTCGTGCCACCGGTCCCCGTAACGGACGGACAGAAACGGTGGGTTTCACACGGTGGCTTTCGCGACCAATATCATCCAGAGGCGGTGGCATAAACACTGCCAACCTCAGTTGGAAAGCATTGCGAACTGAGCCTGCAGTTTTAGTGGAATAACTCCTAATCTAGAAATAAATGTATTTATAGGCGCACTCTAGCCTTAATTTCTCATGGAATATTTTTCAACCCAGCCTGTCCCAACCCCCACAGAGCCCACCCTCCCAACACCGACGGCAGGGGGGGGGGGGTCAGGGCCAGGGACATTTTCTGGAGGTCATCCCCGGACAGCTCTGGCTGAAATTAAGTCCTGGGGGCACTATTTAATTTGAGTGTTAATCGTGTCCATATATCCGCGTCAATTCATGCTTGCTTACTCTATGGAGATGTGTGTCCATGAAACGCAACATTGATTTACATGTACCATGATGAAGGGCTATTGTCCAGAACGTCAACTATGGTGTGAGTTCGATCCCGAACCTGATGCCTGTATATTTGGAGTTTGCACGTTCTGCCTGTGGTCGCGTGGATTTTTTTTCCAGTTCCTCCCCGATGTTTCCCTCCACATTTAGAATCAACGTGAGCTTAGAGCATTTGGCTGCTAGAAATGTTCACAACGACAATCCGTCACTTCGCTGAGCTATCATTTGTGGTGGCCAGGTCGCTTCTGAAAAAGAGCCGTTTCGCTCAGTGGGCCTTACCTGGTAACTAATACAAAGTTGATACGTTTATTTATATTGACGAGTATGTTGATATGAAAAAATATATATTATCTGTGTGTGTGCACCACTTGCCAATGCAGCAGCAGCAGTGGCAGCGTCATCAAATATTGGTAAAAGAGGTCCCATCATGTAGCTGCTCACCCCCGAGCTATACATGCTCTGATACGTGCGGCATTGCCTTTGTACTGTTCGCATTTTGGCGTTCTCTGGTCTGACACTGGTGACGACACTAGGCCATAAAGAAGGCTGTCTCTTATTCTTGGTTCTTTCGGTAAAGTCACGTAGTAGGGAAACAATAGAATAATAAAAATATAAAACAATAAAATTCTCACGACGTTTCGACTGCAACACAAGCAATCATCATCAGGTGTGAAAACCACAACAAGAAAATTTGAAAAAAAAATGGATTTTTTTTATTTTCTTGTTTTAAATTTTTTTTTCAAAATTTCTTGTTGTGGGTTTCACACCTGATGATGATTGCTTGTGTTGCAGTCGAAACGTCGTGATAATTGTATTGTTTTATATTTTTATTATTTTATTGTTTCCCTTCTACGTGACTTTACCGAAAGAACCAAGAATATGAATCCCTGCAGTCACGAAAGCTTTAAATCAAAATTTAAGGCTGTCTCTGGTGTAGGCAAATCAGTTTGAAAGACAATGCCCATATATTATCAGGGCATATTTTTTTGTTTGCATGTTCACCACAAATACGTGTGGTTAATGCAGACTTGATTCCTCGCAAAAAAGGTTTCTCTTTGGTGTTCGAACATCTTAACAACTGTTTTCATTGCCAGAAAGGGTAAAGCCTATTGTGAGTTTTCATACTTTGATGCTGGCACACAAAAAAATGTCCCATGATATCACCAAATAATCCATTGCAATTCTGAGTTACTACGGCACAAACGTCGATTTTTATTTTATTTTAAACAGTCCATGTAATCGCACTTGCAAACAAAACAAACAAACAACAACCGGTTTTAATCGTCTGTATTATGTAAGCGTGGATCTACGACATCAATGCAAATATGCAGTCACTGACCCGGATAACTTTTTTGCTGACATTGGGCCACCGTTCCAAATTCGTCTGGCCGTCATATTGTCAATAAAGCAAAATTATCTGAAGCGTTGCTCAGCAAATATTTATGAAATGCTTCTATGCAATAAGTATGAATGTATGCACACTCGTATGCAACAGCTGGAATAAAAAAAACAAGAATTATAATTGACAGTACTGTGTCAGTCCACTGCTGGATGACTGCTTCCCAATCGCGTGACTGTTATGGGGGTTG